CCTCCGGTACTACCATGCACTTCTTGGTTGCTTCTCTGTTTATTGCTCGTTTTGATGGCCTGTCAGTTCAGATGAATAACCATGTGTCAGTGGATTTGCAGTTATTCCATATGTGCTTTTATTTTTGGATTCTGCATTGTACCTGTGGGTAGTGTGCCTTATTGCTGGCTCCTACATTGTCCAAATGTGTAATAGTGGGATTCATGGAAGCACGTGTTCATTGCAACTCAACCGATGATTGATATGTGACACCCTATGATATATTAGAAATGTATTATAATTCAATGAATTCCAGCTGTATGCAACTATAACTGACTTAGACTGAAACAGCTTTAAAAAATAGTCTTTTGTGCAAAAAATGGTATAAGATCAACTTAAAAATATTCAACTATTCTTTGGTTAAATTCAAATTTAGATAACAAATCAAGTGTTTTTGTAAGAAGAGCAACAGTGCAGATTAATGCATGGACTCACATGCAGAGTTTTTTTTTGCTCTAGTCTCAAAGCTCCACATATAACACAATGCTGCCACCTACAGTACTGCTGCAAATAGACACTTGTAACATAACCCAGTACATCAACTCCAACTCCTTTTCCTATTTATGAAAACAAACACTGTCTGATAAAAGCTTGAAAAAAGACCATGCTTTAGCAAGTTTATTTAATTAATGTTCACATTGTTAGGTTCATATTTCATACGTATTGTTTTAGCTTTCTTCAGTGGTTCACCAGTGAATGCCTGACAGGCTGCTTAAATGTATTTCCTTAAAAGAAATAAAGCTGTTATTCAAATATATCAGTTCGTAAAAGAAAAGGAAGAAGAAATTAAAGATCTGTCCAATAAAACTGTACGTTTATTTGATATGTTAATAAAGCACATTGGTTTCTCGTCTTTATGGGGTCACAGATCATCATAACTGAGCCCATTTGTTAGCATAATGAGCAGATGTTGGAAGAGTAACAAAATAATGAAAATAAACTCTTTTACTTTAAGTGCAACTAGAATACTAGTAACTGATTGTAAAAATGTATTTTATTTGTAAAAAATGAAATGAGCTAGAAACCTATTTACTACTGAAAACGACATGTTGAAAAAAAAGTGATGTGACGTATGTGATTATCAATGCAATCTCACCATTCAGCAGACTTCTTACAGTGTATATGAACATAAATGGTTTATTCTGCTGCCTGTGTTAAGCCTGATTAAAGGCTAAAGAAAAGTTGATACTTGAAAGTTTGTCTCAATAAAGGCCCATCGATGTTCTCATCACTCTGGTTTTGGTGATGGGGGGTGGTTAAGGCTACCAGCTGATTTTGCTTAGGTTTAACATGCGCTTCCACCAGAAAAAAAAACAAAATAAATCATTCTAAAAACAGTGTAAATAAGCCTGTGGTTAAAATCCCTACCATCTAATACATGCCATAGTCACTTTTCAATTATTTTATGTAAGCTGTGTTGGAACTGACTGTATCTGTCAGACTAAAAAATACATGAATGACCCAGCGGGGATGAGTGACCTCTCTGCAGCCCTGTGATCAGGGGGGCTGCTAACCATATGTGCCTTCCTCTGGTTTATACTTATGTCTCGCTAGGCCAGGTCTCTGTTTCTTGCAGACTGTTCTTGATGGCCCTAGATCGGAGGTTTTCAAGAGGGGTTCCGTGACCTCTAGGGGGTCCACAGAGGTACTGGATGGGGGTCGTGAACGTTTTGGTTGATTCGAATCGATAAAACACAATTTCATACAATATATATAATTAGGGGGTCCCCGCTCCATCTCGCCATCAATTTGGGGGTCCTTGGCCTGGAAAAACATTGAAGACCCCTGCCCTAGGTGATGCAGAGCGAACCAGCAACAGTAGCTGCTCATCAGCTGACCAGTGTGACTGATGACGCTGCACATTAGAGACACTGATAGATACCAAATTATTGCTCGGCTGTTTTCTTAATTTCTAAGTTACCCAACTTGCATATTTGAAATAAATCAGCTTTATGTTTTGATGTAACCATCAAACATTAAGATAATAAACTGTTCAACCAATAATGCATTTAATGAAGTGCCTGTTTTTTGTACGTAAATTTAATTAGCTACATCATAACTATGTATAATTTATCTTATCTCCATCCCGCACCAACAGCAGAGCTGCTCCAGGTTCCATCATTTCTTTCTTTCCTAAAGTTTAGACTTAAATTTCAGATTGAAAACAATGGAGCAGAGGCACAAATAGTCAAAGAATATCACATTAAGTTCTCATTAAACATGATCCTTTTTTTTCCTATATCCATAACGTTCCAATTTTAGATTTTTCTTTGTACCTCTGCTGTATTCCAGTATGAGCTTCTCAGCATCTAGATTTGAACTGAATTTCAACCACATGCCAGAGTATGAAAAACTGTTCATTATTTTTCCTCAGTCTCACCTGCCGTATCTGGCACAAGTTCTACTGCTTGGCAGGCAGTGAAACTCCTTTGTTATATGAACACATTGAAAGGTGTTAGGGAAAGACTGAGTAAATGCAATAGGGACTGGAAAAATCCCTGAAGGTGGAAGAATGGAGATAGAGGATAGAATTGAATTTAATTTGGGAACAAATTAAACATAACCCATTTAAATAATCTAATTTTAAATCAAGTATGTTCAGTTGTAAAAGGAAAGCATTTAATAGTTATTAATTTCTGCTGACAGAAACTACATTGACAGAAAAAAAGGATTTAAAAGAACATTTTGGTTTAACTTTAGTATGAATGCACACATTTACATGTACTAAAGTCAAACTTGCATTCAGTCACTTATATGATATATAATTGAGCTGGATTAAAAAATGTATATTTCTATTTCTGGAGGGCATGAAGTGTCAGTTTTGCAGATGTTTGTTCCATAATTTATCATATAAATTCCAGAGATGGCAAAAGGACTCACTTTCCGTACTTGAGTAAAAGTACAGATACTTGTGTTAAAAAGTACTCTGGTAAAAGTGGAAGTACTGATTAAACTTCTTTACTCAAGTAAAAGTAACAAAGTACAGGCTTGTAAATTTACTTAAAGTATAAAAGTAAAAGTAGAAACCACTTTTTTCATGCCATTGCCTACATTTTAAATGGATGTCTGCCAATAGGACTAGATCTCCGTTGTGTTCATTTTCAATCATCTCGTCGTCCATACTACTATGCTAACGCCACCGCCACCAAGCTGCAATGATTTGCCGCCAATGAATACCGCCGAATCTGTCGATTCATCTTGTAGTGGTGCGTCAAATGCAACGTAGATCCAATTAGATTGAATTTGGTATTGATGACGGGAAAAATAATAACGGTAACTCCATTGAAATGATTCAAAACTAAAGTAACGAGCCAATTTTTTTAAATGTAAGGAGTAGAAAGTACAGATATTTGTGTAAAAATGTAAGGAGTAGAAGTAAAAAGTCATCATAAAAATAAGTAGTAAAGTAAAGTAAAAATATCAGAAAAATCTACTTAAGTACAGTAACAAAGTATTTGTACTTCGTTACTTCCCATCTCTGATAAATTCAAAAATGTCTACTGTTTAAAAACAGAAAATTTTGAACCTGAACGACACAGTAATTAATTGATCTGAGCATCAAATGAAATCTAACATATAATTAGTTGCATTCGACATGTATGTTCTGAAATTAAGTTCAAAATTAAGCAGAAGTTGCACAATTTTTTACTGTTTAGCACCAGTTTTTTACAGGATACAAACTGCATCATCATCAAGTAATGTATTAAAGCATGGGTTAGAGTGAAAGTGAGGACTATACTATTCGAATCAACAGTTTATTGATATAGAACCAATATTATTAGATATTTTACCTAACGGTGTGGCTGTAGACTCTTATCTGATCCTTTATTATGACAATGAATATAACCCTTTTTTTCAATCAAAGTGAAATAAAGTTCTCCATGGAATCGAATAGGAAAATCAATAAAGCTCTAATATGCCCTCATCTAACCATTGAGCTTTTCTCCATCTGTTTTTCCATTTTTATGGCAACAAAAGATGCTTCTTGATCTGGACCTACCTCTGCTGCCATCTAGTGGATCAAACCTTCACCTGACTATTACTGCTGCTATAAAATAAAGAGCACATATTCAAAAGTAGAATAAACTATATAAAGTCTATGATTGACAAGTTATGAGAGGATTCAGTGTTGACTTAAATGTTCAATCTTTAATATATAGTATATAAAGGCTATTCAAACATAAACAGGAAGTCATGAATGCAGATTGAAAAACAACTTTAAATCATCAAGTAGTGCTCAGTGCTTAAAAAATCAAATAAAGAAAACATATTTGTATATATTGTTAAGTTCTTCTAGACAAAAAACCCTCAATAATATTTTTTTTTCCAATATAAAGTGCTCATGTTGTATCAGCTGCTATAACTAAGAAGGCATCAAACGTGTGCAGAACAGAAATTAAGAAATATTTACCATTTCAGGGCAACTGGGTTATCATAATATGGCCAGAGCTCTCTAAATGCTGTTAGAAGGAGCAGTTTCTTTCTCATTTAATAGCCTTCTTATAGTTGGTTATATGCACATGCACTTCCAGACGGAAGTGAATTTCCATCTATCAGGGGAATGAATGTCACAGTAATTTAGACCTTTTAATGAGGCAGTTGATCCATGTCTTATTACTAAATTATTATACGCGCATTAATTTCATGTTTTAAAAAACAGGTTTTAAAAAAACATGAGCTGGGAGCACAAGTTTGAATTTAAGATGGATTTTTGTTTTAATTTATTCAGTATCAAAATGATTTTGTACAGGCTTAAATATGTACATACAACCAATTATTTTTTGATGAATTTCCTTTAGCAAGTGGCAGGGAAACCGCTCCCCATTCACGAGGTTAGAGCATGATTCTGGGTGTATATTAAACCTTACTAGAAATAGAAGAGCTTATTTAGATTAGTTAGATTGCTTGTATGGACACTGCATTCTAGTCAATGTATCATTAATAGAGCTGAGGTTGGTTGATATACTGTAAGGTTGATATCAGCCTGGTTATTCATTCCACAGCTAGTTTGGGTGTGTGTCTACCTGAAAACCCAACTATGTCCAAGTTTCACTCCTAACTCACAAAGCCCCCTAAAATGGTATACAGACTCAACACTATTATAAATTGGAGAAGGCTGAAACAGATCCTTCTCCAGAATCCACCTTTTCCAGCCGGACTGTTCTCTGCAGATGCCCATGCAAACTATTACCTTGGGGACAGATATTTTTTGGTCAGCCAGCACAAAGAATGAGCTTTTTTGTCTACAATCAAAAAATAAATGTTTGGAAGAGTCAAGCTGAGGCTTTTAAAGATGGGCATAGTATCAGCTGTAAAGTATGGTGGTGGTAGTGTCATTCTGAGGTTCTCTTTGGGTGCCAATGGTACAAGTATATTTGAAAAATAAAGACCTTAGTTCTTATGCCTTACCTAAAATCAGCAGTTAAGTAGTCGGAACTTGGATATCGTTGACCATTCCAACAGGTTTGTAAATGGCTGAAGGAATTAAAATAAAGCTTTCTGGAAGGGCCACCATATTAACCCGTCTGAAAGCTTAGGGGCAATTAAAACCATCCAAGGAACTAAATTAATTTAGATAAGGTTGATGATTTCTTGGTAAGGGAAACATGTTCGATCAGCTGTGCAGCATGAATGAGAACTCTAACTTTGTAAGGATCTAATTTTTAAAATAAATGAAATTAAAAAAAACGAATGGTTCCAATTCATCGTAAAAACCCCAACTTTTATATGACATCCCTGCGATAATGAGTCACAATGTGAAAGTGTTTCTGTAGTTTGAAAATGGGTCGATTTGGTGAATTTGGGTACTTCCTTTATTCAGTTTCTGTTCTGTAGTAGTCTGCTCTGTATTTTGTGGTGTTGATATGCTTATTTAATTAAAGGTAGCTTTCAATTCAAACACATGATTAATGGTTTTGCTGGTCATTGGTACTGCAGGTAGTTCTTGAGCCTGTTAGGAAGAGGAAGGTGGGAAAGAAGATGGAGTCTGTCTCGACCAACACAGCTTCTGATGCACTGACGACACAACTGACTCAGCAGGCGTGGCGTAGCTGTTAAAAAAAAAGAAAAAAAAAAAGAAAGAATGATTTGAAAATTAACTGCAACAAATTTGAAAACAGTGATTGGTTTATTGTAAGTAACACAGATGAAAGAATCACAGCTCTTTCACCTAAAATGGAGTTACCCAGCAGATCAATGGAGTTATACCTTCATAAAGCAGCAGGAAGCCCTCTGTTAGACTGCTGGGTGGAGCCACGTCTACTGGCCTCTGACAGTCTGTGTTTCTGGCATTAATATCTGCACCAAAATCAAGCAGCAACTTCACCACAGCTGTGCAGTCTTTTTCTGCTGCTGCATGTAAAGGGGAGTCCAAGGATTTGCCTTTCTGTACGTTTGCACCTGTGTTGAGCACAAAAGAAAAACTTACTCAAGACCTGATTGAAGTAATGCATTATTATTTGCTTAATAATCAGTAAGTCCTAAGCTTCTGACTTATCTGTGCCTTTTTATGTACAATAAAACATTATTTTATATAAAAGGTTGATTTAGCTTATTACCTTTAATCAAGAGTGACAAGATTTAAAGGGGCCCTGTCATGTACTATGTCTACAAAAAAAGAAAGAAAAAACATATGTCTGTTAGAATAAAGTATATGCCAAGTCGTCATCGTGTTTTCTTAGTTGTATGCAGTTGACATCTAGTGGTAGCACTTCCTGACTCATCTATCAACTTGGCAGCTTCCAAGGGTTTAGCTCCTGCTTAAGTGGAGCTAGCCTGGCCAGCTAGGCTAATTTTGTACAGTGTACACGGCATATTTCTCTAGAATAGAGCTGGTTTGGCCTGATTTCAAAGATGGGACAGTGAAAACAGTTTAAAACTTATGAGAAAACTGCAGATGTGATGCATAAACATTTTTTTTTTTTTTTTTTACACAGCAGCCACTTGTGAGCTGACAAATCATAAGATGGTGCTCCTCCCTCCACATTTCACTTGTTCATCTCTAGAAGTTTTGTGAAAAAGCAACTGGAGAGACTGAACCAGAATAAGTCTCCTGGTCCAGGTGGTGCAGCCCCAGCACCCTGCAGGCCTGTGCAGAGCAGATCTGTGGGATTCTACAACAACTTTTTTTTTAACTTTAGCCTAACCCTGAAGACGGTTCCAGTGTTGGGGATAGGGATGCACAATATAATCGGCCCCCTATCGATATCGGCGTGTATCGGCCTTAAAGCTGAATATTGGACATCGGCCCCCCCACCGATATTTAACCCGATATTTGATCAGCTTCTGAGTTTCTAAAGTCTAAAAAAAAAAAAAAAAAAAAAATACTACTTCTTCTTCTTCCTCAAAAACTTCTTTTTTACAGACTTTAAAACTTCTAAAGATGAGGGAAAAAATATTGATACATTAAAATATTACAATATCTTCATATGCTGATATATTGCCATTTAAAAACACCATATCAATCTTTTTTACTAATGAAATATTGCTATATGTCATCGTTATGCTACGAAATCCCCCGAAAATTCACGAAATTTTGCCATATTTTTATATGTTGATATGTTGACGCGGTATCGATCTATTTTACTAACAAAATCTCACAAGATTTTGCAAAATATCACGAGAGTTTGTAACAGAACAATTAAATTTTACGAGATTTTGAAAGTGAAATAGATCGATACCGCGTTTTTAAAAATCTATTTGATATCAGCATATGAAAATATATTTGAGTATATTATTTTTCAAAGTGTCAGAAATGGATAACAAAACTGCTATTTTCAATGACTACTTATTTTTGTCCAGCTTTAACATTGGTATCGGTATCGGTTATCGGCTACATGAGTTTTAAAATATCGGCATATCGGATATCGGCCAAAATCCCAATATCGTGCATCCCTAGTTGGGGACGTTTTACTGCCTTGTTCCAGTTCCAAAGAAAACTCAGCCAACAGCCTCGATGACAACAGACCTGTTTCTCTGACATTCTGTATCATCCCTAGAGAAAGTTCAGCCTGACTTAATTTAACAGAAACTCTAGAGGACTCAGGTGGTCATCAACAACCACCTGGATCAAATGACCAGATTACTGAGATAAAAGGGGCTTCTGTCCAATCATGTAGTCAGCAGCACAGGAGCTCAACAGGAGACGGAACTCCCACCATTCCTTTTTACTCTGTAAACCTCTGACTTCCAGTACTACCAGACAGAGTCCCGTCTTCTAGAAAAATACTCAGATGACTCTGCAGTTCTTGGTGCATCAAATATGGACATGAAGCTGACTACAGGGAGCTATTGAACTATTTTGTGAGATGGTGTGGAAACAATCATCTGATCCTGAATGTCAACAAAAGAAGGGAGATAATGTAGATTTCAGAAGAAACAAATATGAGTTGAGTCCTGTTCACATCTTGATATAAATATATGAAATAAACGGACAACAACCTGACTGGAAACACAACTATGAAGTGTTTTCAGCAAGATGCTGCATATCTTTTATTAGTCTGTAGTGGAGAGTGTGATCTCTTTTGCTATCATCTATTGGGGTAATAACATCAGAGCAAATGACTCAGCTCGGTTCTAGGAACTCCTTTAGAACCTCTGGAGATTATTTCTCAAAGAAAAAATGTTCATAAAATGAAGAACGTTATGGACAATAGTGAGCGTAATCTAGAAGACTATTAAATAATAACACAGTGTCTTCAGTAAAAGGCTTGATCCGGTGCAAGACAGACTGCCAAAGAAGATCCTGCCTGCAGCCATCGACATATTGGAAAAGAAAAAATGATGAGTTAAGTACTTTTTAATTAAATTGAATGAAATAGTTTAATTACTTCACTTTCTAAACACCTTTGGATACAGTAAAGGGCATCTATAAAACGTAGCTCCACTTCAGCTGCAATCTATACTGTTCTGGTTAAAGAAAAGCACTGTTACATTATGGCCCTACCTCCGATACTATGATTGTTCCAGGCTGTTTTAAATGGGAGAGTATTTAGCCCTACCAGACTGACTTACTCCCTGTATAAGAGGCCTGGTCATTGTAAATATAGAAGAGTGCTTATGTTTAATAATAAATGGACTGAAAAAGCGTAAAAAATAAATAATACACAATAAGCCAACAGGGCACTATAATAAAATTTTAAAGCCGTTGTATCCAACCATTGATCTAATGCTGGAAAATTTTGTAAAGACATAGAATGTGACTGTGGCCCCTATAAATCATCAAGTTCAGTCAGAAGTAGCACCATCTGGTGTTTCTCTCAAATCAAATCATACAAGATGTGTTTGCATTATGTTACTCTACACCTGGAATAGCTAACCTGTTGATCATAGTTGTCTCACTTTATATTGTAGTATAATTATTAAATAGAAGACACTATTTACATATTCACATTTAAAAAGAAATTAAAACCAGTGCCATTCCTTTGTAATCACTTACTCATGGTGATTTGCAATTAAAAGTCTTTTAGGGTATTCAGCTTCCCAGATATATAGCAGGAATGTCAGCTATAATAATTGGCTGGATAAGAACTAAAGATTCTGTCTAAGTAGATATTCTTTTTTATTAAATAAGATTTGGTGTGGACTGACTGAGACGTTACAAAGCATGAATATCCTGGGATCCAAACAACAGAGAACAAAAGGTTTAAGATGCATATTCACCTACTACCAAGTGGCATAAAAAGGAAGAAAGATGTTCTTAGAGGCACAATCCAGACACACATCAAGGGCAGAAATAGTGGCCATCTCATTTTAACTGGTTAGCCAAGAAGGTGTTGGTCAGTTAATGAAGTGTACTCCTGTAGTTTAAGTTTTGCTAGATGTGCCATTCCATTCCAGCTTCCCTGTAACTGCTGAAGAACAGCAGGCCTATAGAATGATAGTGCCACCGCCATGTTTAACATTGGGGGAAGTGTGTTCACAGTAAATTGCAGTGTTATGTTTACATTTTGATTTTACTTGGCCACAGCCCATCCTTTTCCATATGTTCAAATAATTTGGAAAAACAAAAAACAAATATTGTCATATTGGCAGATTTGTTAGATAATAAAATGTGAAAAGTAGGTGTAAACTTTTGAAAGAACAATACATTTTTGCAAAGCTGTAAAAAACAGAATTTTAATATATAATGTTTAGTATGTCATTTCTGAAAAGTTTCAGTATATCATATATTAAAGCCTTCCTCTGAAGATTTTTGGATTCTGATAGAATGCATTTTTCACAGTAATGATTTATATCCTGACCTTTATTTTGTACTCCTACTTGCAAGCATGCAAAGGATTTGTGTCTGTCTCTGAGGAGATGTAAATATCCACATAATTCTGCAACCTAACCTTCCCTGAGGAGTTTCCTGGCACATTCCAGCTCTTGGCAGATGCAGGCAGTGTAGAGTGCTGTGCCCAGGTGAGGAATGTCCATGTCTACATCGGCGCCCCAAGTCACCAGGGCCTCAACGCAACCATAATGACCTGGAAGTAATGGAGCGTGAAGACAGTAATCAGTATGTGACAATATGAGATGATTCTCCAAGCTGTCTTCTCCAGACAGATTCATTTATTTTAAGCATTTTTTTGTTGTTGTTGTTGTTTTTTCTACATTGTAGGTTATTCACAAAAGGGTATTGTAGCTGTGCATGAAACATAAAACAACTTTATATACGGGGCTGAGTGTGTGTGCTAATAAGGAGAAATAGGGCCAAGGAAAATATAGGCCTACTCTTATGCTGTTTCCAAACCTGGATAACTTTTTCCATCAGGACTATTTTTAGAAGGGTTGTGTAAAACGTCTAACCTGCTACGATGTCACAAGTTGACCCAAGTGCTCTATAAATATATAGAAGAATTAACGCATGGATGTGGCAAATCCTTCATTAGCTGATAAAAACAAATCTGAAGAAATAATTTTTGGCCAAAAGAAGAGCTTACAAAAGTTAGCACACAGCTTTAGTTAATACAAATAGAAACCATTAATCCAGCTTAAAATCTAGGTATAGTGAATGAGCTCCGACCTAAATGTTCAGAGGCTCATAAAGGCAGTAGCAAAGTCCTTCTATCACCCAAAGAAAATCTCCAGGATTAAAAGTCTAATGTCTAAACAGGATTTTGAACAAGTAATTCATATGATCATCTTAGAAGAGATTACTGTAACAGAGTCTCCACAGGTCTAACCCAAAAGTTGACGAGATAGCTGCAGCTGATCCAGAATGCTGCTGCCAGCGTCCTCACCAAAACAATTGGAGAACAACACTCCAGTTCCAAAATTATACACTTTAAAATACTTCTGTTGGTCTATAAATCACTGAATGGCTTAGTGACACCATACAGTAAAGACTTGTTGTCAGTGCATCTACTTAAACCTCTCAGGTCTTCTAATGCAGCTCTACTTTGCATACTCTGATCCAGAACCAAACAAGGAGAAGCAGCGTTTAGTTCCTAAGCTCCACTATTCTGGAATGAACAGATAACTGCAAAAGCGCTGAAACTCTGTAGCTTTCAATCAAGATTAAAAAGGCATTTGTTTAGAGTGGTCTTTGAGTGTGCTATCTAAACATTAAGATTCCAATCCTGCTTTTAGTCCATTTTCTGTCGTTTTACTTTCCTTCTTCTTCTCTTTCTTATCTACAAAACTTTGAATTGCCTTTCCTCTAAAATGTTCTATATAAATAAACTTGCCTTGCCTCAGTACAGCAGGTTTCTCCCTTTTATATAGGCTTCAAATTATCCTTCAGTTGCACTACATTCTCTTGTGTTATACCTTTACTGGTTGCTTCGTGTATTGGTGAAGGTTGGTACACGAGGCTCTGGGGTTTTGCTCCATTTTCCAGAAGGATTTCAGTGCAAGCCACACTGCCCACTGTACAGGCGTTGAACAGAGGGGTGACTCCATCAATTGTAGATGCATTGACCTGTAAAAACACTTTTGTTGTTATTTTTAGCCCATCTTTAACAATGCAGGTTGACTAATAGCTAACGCCAAAGGGAGCAATTGAGGGGGGCGAGCAACAATTTAAACGCTCTGCACTGTAGATGGAGAGCAGCACATCTCTCATTTGTTATCCCCTCCCAGAGTTTCCCATCCATGGAAATTACATTTGACCTCAGAGGAATGGCAACATTAAAGAGTCTCCAGGCCATAATGTGACTTACATTCGCTCCTGCATCAATGAGCGCCCTGGCACAGGCAACATGGTCGGCAAGACAGGCCTCATGAAGGGGTGTCACATGGTCTATAGTCAGAACATTCACATTGTGACCCTGGAAGCAGAGCACATCACCAGCCAAATAGATTTAGTGGGAGAATTTGTTTTAAGAAGCACTCGCCATCAGACGCGCTTTGTCAATCTCTGCTGGTGAACAACAGGCATTACAAGAGCATTGTGAAAGCTTATCTCCTCACACAAGAATGAGCATTCATCTTCAGTCATGTCTTTAAATGAATACTGCGCTGCAAAGTCACATTTCAGCTCTGTAGATTGATAAGTCTGCTAAATATAATGAACATAACATAAAAGGCTGGCTAAATGCCAATTTTTCAGCATGTGCGTACAGTCATGTTTTTACTTGTCACTGCAATGTTTCTGACTTAAACTAAGCATGTTCCATTTTTGGGCGTAGGCCTCACCATGTGCAGCAGGCAGAAAATATAAAATTTACTCAGAACACAGTTGGCTTATGTCAAACAAAATAATCTCAGATTTTGTAGGTTTATAATCTGAGACCTATGGAAACATATATATTTTTTAATACTGAATATATATTACTTAGAATTCCCTTGCTTTACAGCCATACATTTTAGGATATTTTTCTTATAGAACACACCATAGTATTTAATGAAGTGAATAAGAAAAAACATGTTTTTTTAAACAATGGCAAGCATTCATATTTAACAGCCTGAGTCAACACTTCAATCAGAGCAGGCAGTGTTTTGGATTATCTTTTTACAATCATTTTACAATTTAAAGCCTAAAGTTGTTCAACATTTAGCAAAATAAGATCAGCTTATTTAGCTTATTTAGTTTTATGCAGAAGATAAATTTTCTAGTTTTGTGGTTCTGGTTGTATGCTAATGGTTGTTCTGATGGAGGATTAGCATCTACAATTATCTCCAAGCTCCAATAACCTCATATTTCCAAAACAGCTTTGACCAGTTTTTGTGTCCACTCTGAAGAAATGCCTCCCCACAATGTAATGTTGCCACCATAGAGATTATATACATAGCTGCCTCATTTGATGCTGACCAATGTGCCTAGAGGGCGCATTCTTGGATCAGACCACAGTTCAGACAGCTGCTGTCAGAATGAATAGG